TATATTGTAACTGTATTGTGGTATATTGTAACTGTAGTGTAGTATAATGTAACGTAGTGTAGTATAATGTAATTGTAGTGTGGAACATTGTAACTGTAGTGTGGTATATTGTAACTGTAGTGTGGTATATTGTAACTGTAGTGTGGTTTATTGTAACTGTAGTTTGGTATATTGTAACGGTAGTGTGGTATATTGTAATTGTAGTGTAGTATATTGTAATTGTAGTGTAATACATTGTACTGTAGTGTGGTGTATTGTAAATGTATTGTGGTATATTGTAACGTTTATTGTAACTGTATTATGGTATATTGTAACTGTAGTGTAGTATGTTGTAACTGTGGTGTGGTATATTGTAACGTATATTGTAATTGTAGTGTAGTATATTGTAACTGTAGTGTGGTATATTGTAACTGTAGTGCGGTATATTGTAATTGTAGTGTGGTATATTGTAGTGTGGTATATTGTAACTGTAGTGTAGTATATTGTAATTGTAGTGTAATATATTGTAACTGTAGTGTGGTATATTGTAACTTATATTGTAATTGTAGTGTAGTATATTGTAACTGTAGTGTGGTATATTGTAACTGTATTGTTGTATATTGTAACTGTAGTGTAGTATATTGTTATTGTAGTGTAGTATATTGTAACTGTAGTGTGGTATATTGTAGTATGGAATATAGTAACTGTAGTGTGGTATATTGTAATTGTAGTGTAGGATATTGTAACTTTAGTGTGCTATATTGTAATTGTAGTGTGGTATATTGTAGTGTGGTATATTGTAACGTATATTGTTACTGTAGTGTGGTATATTGTAACTGTAGTGTAGTATATTGTAAATGTAGTGTGGTATATTGTAACTTTAGTTTGGTATATTGTAACGGTAGTGTGGTACATTGTAACTGTAGTGTGGTGTATTGTAAATGTATTGTGGTATATTGTAACGTATATTGTAACTGTATTGTGGTATATTGTAACTGTAGTGTAGTATGTTGTAACTGTGGTGTGGTATATTTTAACGTATATTGTAATTGTAGTGTAGTATATTGTAACTGTAGTGTGGTATATTGTAATTGTGTTGTGGTATATTGTAACGTATATTGTAACTGTATTGTGGTATATTGTAACTGTAGTGTAGTATATTGTTACTGTAGTGTGGTATATTGTAACTGTAGTATTGTATATTGTAACTGTAGTGTGGTATATTGTAACGGTAGTGTAGTATATTGTAACTGTAGTGTGGTATATTGTAACTGTGATGTTGTATATTGTAACTGTAGTGTGGTATATTGTAACTGTAGTGTAGAATATTGTAACTGTAGTGTAGTATATTGCAACTGTAGTGTGGTATATTGTAACGTATATTGTAATTGTAGTGTAGTATATTGTAACTGTAGTGTGGTATATTGTAACTATAGTGTAGTATATTGTAACTGTAGTGTGGTATATTGTAACGGTAGTGTGGTTGATTGTAATTGTAGTGTGGTATATTGTAACTGTAGTATAGTATATTGTAACTGTAGTGTGGTATATTGTAACTGTAGTGTGGTATATTGTAACTGTAATGTGGTATATGGTATTTGTAGTGTAGTATATTGTAATTGTAGTGTGGTATATTGTAACTGTAGTGTAGTATATTGTAATTGTAGTGTGGTATATTGCAATTTTAGTGTGGTATATTGTAATTGTAGTGTGGTATCTTGTAACTGTAGTGTTGTATATTGTAACTGTAGTGTGATATATTGTAACTGTAGTGTGATATATTGTAACTGTAGTGTGATATATAGTAACTGTAGTGTGATATATTGTAATTGTAGTGTGGTATATTGCAATTTTAGTGTGGTATATTGTAATTGTAGTGTGGTATCTTGTAACTGTAGTGTTGTATATTGTAACTGTAGTGTGGTATATTGTAATTGTAGTGTGGTATCTTGTAACTGTAGTGTTGTATATTGTAACTGTAGTGTGATATATTGTAACTGTAGTGTGATATATTGTAACTGTAGTGTGATATATAGTAACTGTAGTGTGATATATTGTAACTGTAGTGTGGTATATTGTAACTGTAGTGTGGTATATTGTAATTGTAGTGTGGTATATTGTAATTGTAGTGTGGTATATTGTAATTGTAGTGTGGTATATTGTAATTGTAGTGTGGTATATTGTAATTGTAGTGTGGTATATTGTAACTGTAGTGAAATATATTGTAACATATATTGTAACTGTAGTGTTGTATTCTTTAATTGTAGTGTAGTATATTGTAACTGTAGTGTGGTATATTGTAATTGTAGTGTAGTATATTGTAACTGTGGTGTAGTATATTGTAACTGTAGTGTGGTATATTGTAGTGTGGAATATAGTAACTGTAGTGTAGTATATTGTAACTGTGGTGTAGTATATTGTGATTGCCGTGTGGTATATTGTAATTGTAGTGTGGTATATTGTAGTGTGGTATATTGTAACTGTAGTGTGGTATATTGTAACTGTAGTGTAGTATATTGTAGTGTGGTATATTGTAATTGTAGTGCGGTATATTGTAACTGTAGTGTGGTATATTGTAGCGTGGTATATTGTAATTGTAGTGCGGTATATTGTAACTGTAGTGTGGTATATTGTAGTGTGGTATATCGTAATTGTAGTGCGGTATATTGTAAATGTAGTGTAGTATATTGTAGTGTGGTATATTGTAATTGTAGTGCGGTATATTGTAACTGTATTGTGGTATATTGTAATTGTAGTGCGGTATATTGTAACTGTAGTGTGGTATATTGTAGTGTGGTATATTGTAACTGTCATGTGGTATATTGTAGTGTGGTATATTGTAACTGTAGTGTGATATATTGTAATTGTAGTGCGGTATATTGTAACTGTAGTGTGGTATATTGTAGTGTGGTATATTGTAACTGTAGTGTGGTATATTGTAATTGTAGTGCGGTATATTGTAACTGTAGTGTGGTATATTGTAGTGTGGTATATTGTAACTGTCATGTGGTATATTGTAGTGTGGTATATTGTAACTGTAGTGTGATATATTGTAACTGTAGTGTGGTATATCGTAATTGTAGTGCGGTATATTGTAGTGTGGTATATTGTAACTGTCATGTAGTATATTGTAGTGTGGTATATTGTAATTGTAGTGTGATATATTGTAACTGTAGTGTAGTATATTGTAACTGTGGTGTAGTATATTGTAACTGTAGTGTGGTATATTGTAACTGTAGTGTGGTATATTGTAACTGTAGTGTGGTATATTGTAACTGTAGTGTAGTATATTGTAACTGTAGTGTAGTATATTGTAACTATAGTGTGGTATATTGTAACTGTAGTGTAGTATATTGTAACTATAGTGTGGTATATTGTAACTGTAGTGTAGTATATTGTAACTGTAGTGTGGTATATTGTAACTGTGATGTTGTATATTGTAACTGTAGTGTGGTATATTGTAGTGTGGTATATTGTAGTGCGGTATATTGTAGTGTTGTATATTGTAACTGTCATGTGGTATATTGTAACTGTAGTGTGGTATATTGTAACTGTGGTGTAGTATATTGTAACTGTAGTGTGGTATATTGTAACTGTAGTGTAGTATATTGTAACTGTAGTGTGGTATATTGTAATTGTAGTGTAGTATATTGTAACTGTAGTGTAGTATATTGTAATTGTAGTGTGGTATATTGTAACTGTAGTGTAGTATATTGTAACTGTAGTGTGGTATATTGTAACTGTGATGTTGTATATTGTAACTGTAGTGTGGTATATTGTAACTGTAGTGTAGTATATTGTAACTGTAGTGTGGTATATTGTAACTGTGATGTTGTATATTGTAACTGTAGGGTAACATATTGTAACTGTAGTGTGGTATATTGTAGTGTGGAATATAGTAACTGTAGTGTGGTATATTGTAACTGTAGTGTGGTATATTGTAACTGTAGTGTAGTATATTGTAACGGTAGTGTGGTATATTGTAGTGTGGAATATAGTAACTGTAGTGTGGTATATTGTAATTGTAGTGTAGTATATTGTATTTGTAGTGTGGTATATTGTAATTGTAGTGTGGTATATTGTAGTGTGGTATATTGTAACTGTAGTGTGGTATATTGTAGTGTGGTATATTGGTATATTGTAACTGTACTGTGGTATATTGTAACTGTAGTGTGGTATATTGTAACTGTACTGTGGTATATTGTAACTGTTGTGTGGTATATTGTAACTGTACTGTGGTATATTGTAACTGTACTGTGGTATATTGTAACTGTTGTGTGGTATATTGTAATTGTAGTGTGGTATATTGTAACTGTACTGTGGTATATTGTAACTGTTGTGTGGTATATTGTAACTGTTGTGTGGTATATTGTAACTGTAGTGGGGTATATTGTAACTGTAGTGTGGTATATTGTAACTGTACTGTGGTATATTGTAACTGTTGTGTGGTATATTGTAATTGTAGTGTGGTATATTGTAGTGTGGTATATTGTAACTGTAGTGTGGTATATTGTAGTGTGGTATATTGGTATATTGTAACTGTACTGTGGTATATTGTAACTGTAGTGTGGTATATTGTAACTGTACTGTGGTATATTGTAACTGTTGTGTGGTATATTGTAACTGTACTGTGGTATATTGTAACTGTACTGTGGTATATTGTAACTGTTGTGTGGTATATTGTAATTGTAGTGTGGTATATTGTAACTGTACTGTGGTATATTGTAACTGTTGTGTGGTATATTGTAACTGTTGTGTGGTATATTGTACATGTAGTGTTGTATATTGTAATTGTAGTGTGGTATATTGTAACTGTAGTGTGGTATATTGTAACTGTTGTGTGGTATATTGTAATTGTAGTGTGGTATATTGTAATTGTAGTGTGGTATATTGTAACTGTACTGTGGTATATTGTAACTGTAGTGTTTTCCATAATGTAACAAATACAGTAAAGCTCATTGTAGCAAGAGTGTGTGTAGTGTATAGTTATTATAACAAATTAAACAAATAATCCTACTTACCAGTACATCGATTTGTCCAAACTTGGATATGGTTATATCGACAAGGTTTTCGAGGTCATTCTCCTTGTCTACATCACACTGAATAACTAAAATCTGCAAAGAAATCCGAGATGATTGTGTTCCATTTTGCAATAGAAATCAAATATGATATTCATAATACAAGGGTTGCATCTGAATTTGCAAGTAAGTAATCAGAATCTTAATTCAAACACTGATTTAGATTGGCAAGGTGATTCATCTGAAAAGTATTAGGATATTAAAACCAAGTGTTCTGGAAGGGTTAACATCGTATGATTTATCAGCGATATCCGCCATATAGATCTGGCTCATTTCAAAAGTATTTATTATCGTTGTTATCTACATGTCTATATGTCTACATTGTCTACATGTCTATATATCTATCTGTCTATATGTCTATATGTCTACATGTCTAAATGCCTATATGTCTACATGTCGATATGTCTACATATCTATATGTCTACAAATCTACGTATCTATATATCTACATGTCTATATGTCTACATATATATCTCTACACATATATATGTCTACATGTCTATATGTCTACATGTCTACATGTTTACATGCCTACATGTCTATATGTCTGCATGTCTACATGCCTTCATGTATATATGTCTACATATCTATATATTTATATGTCTACATATCTATATGTTTATATGTCTATATTTCTACATGTCTATATGTCTCTATTTCTATATGTCTACATGCCTATATGTCACTGCTGATTCAATATCAAAGAACCTGGTACTATAATAACGACTTTATTAAAAAAAATATGGCACCCCGAAAAATAATAACTTGCACCACTGGGTATCAACAGATGAATATTAATGAAAAAATATCACTGATGGTTTGGTTGTTAATCCTTTTCTCCTTTTGGGGACGTGAAATTGATTCCTTTTTAATGGTCTTGCGATTCATGGCGGTAACGTCGATGAAGCAGAAAATTCCTACCACGTTTGAATGCCTTGTCTATCTTATTCCAGTATGTTTAAGGTTACCGTTGTAATTTCTTTATTCCAATTCCAATTTTAAATCCTGCACATTTAAAATCTGTTGCGCATTGCTTACAAATGTGTACTCGCTGTAGATACCATTATTGTATCCTTGTTTGAAGCTAGTGTCTCTACAACAAGAGGGTTTTTACTTGATGTTTTTATTTGTAATTCTCAAATGATAATTGCAACTATCTATTGGGAACCTAGTTCTCCACGGCATGCAAAGTTAACTGCTATTCAGCCAATACCTAAGGTATGTTTACAGAACTTTAGAAGTACTTTTTTGAAGGGGGATTTGTCAACACAAACACTTTTTAGTACAAATTTAGAGTTAGACACAGTATATCCAACAACAATGAATAAAACTGCATCATACAGCTGTTTCGTCCTTCAAGGACTCTTCAGTGATGTTACATTGTACAGCTGTTTCATCCTTCTCGGACTCGTCAGTGATGCTACATCATACAGTTGTCTAGTCCTTCTAGGACTCGTTAGTGATGCTACATCATACAACTGTTTCGTCCTTCTAGGAATCATCAGTGATGCTACATCATACAGTTGTCTAGTCCTTCTAGGACTCGTTAGTGATACCAAGAGTCTAATCCAATGTCCAAAAAAATCCAAAGTGACCGAAAAAAATGTCAAAATGGGGCAATATCCCCATAATTGAATCAATGCTGTAATTATCATATATCCGATAATTTAAGAACAACGTCATGGTCATGAATTAAAACGTGGCATGCAAGTTACAACAAACCTCTGGGAATAAAAGTGCAGCATCAGTGTCTGCCACCAGTTATCTCGAAAATTGTACAAAATTTTCATTTCACAAACTGGGAATGAAACACTTTACTTCCCACACATAACATACTAACTATACTTTTAAAATATTAGTAATAAGACGATTCGGCGAATGACAGTCTACAACAACCGGATGTGAAACTACGGACTATCTTTCATCGTGGAGGAACTATTGCGGATATGAATGAGGAATATCGTTAGTGTTTCTGTTAAGAATAAATCTGATGAATGATTACTGTTAACTGGTATCATGTACAATGATATGGAGAGCCTATACCCTAAGTATAACGTTCCCATGATGAGAAGAGAAGGAGATAGGGCCCGAACAAACGATTCCTTTTTTGTTGGTCAAACGTAAAAATGTAGGTCAACTATTCAAAGTTAAATAGGTGTGTAGACGATAGGGTTCGTATAAGTTTGCGGAAGGACGGACTAGCACAACACAAAAGCATAGTCCCCTCGGAATCTCGGATGGGGGAATAAAATCATGACAACTGATGTCTTTTTATCTTATTTTATATTAATTTTTGAAGGAACAATCACACATATTTACTTGCCCTGTCCGATGAGAGTCCTTTGGCTTGACATTCTTGGGAAACCTTGGTTAAGTTTGTCACATTGCGCGAGGCCAGTACCAACTTCGGATTGTATTGAGACAAATGTACACATGTGCTAGCGCCGATACCGGAACTGGCACCTGGTTAATCAAGCATTCATTTCTCCATGGAATTGACTTACACATATAGAGAGTGTAAAGACCATGCAAATATATTCCTGCAGATACACTTATTGTACCGATAAAATCACTACAACACTTAGTATGTGTTCAGTGTGCTAGTTTTTAATCACTCTTTGTTATCAATATGTTTTGTGTACTACATACTTATATATATATATATATATGCAATATAAGCTAATTCTATCGTTCAACCAGAAAAATCAAAACTTAACAATGTAATTAATTATATAGATAAAGCATTATGGAGTGATATGTTAATAACTGCACTCGTAGTCCGGTATGTAAGTACACCGGGTTTGATTAGAGCGACATATTTGATAAATGTTACGAATTCATACATAAATATACATTGTACGTTATACTTCGTTCCGTTTTAATCGGACACTCCTTATGTTTAAATATAACAAGATTGGAATGTTATGAATGTTATATATAGACACCAATAAAGAATTCTACAATGTAATGACACGTGTATAAGGGTTCTATGTATCAACCAGTTAATGAAATAGAGGAAGAGTGTTACAGACGAACCTGTGATGATCACAACCTTGTCTGTTAGAGCTGACATCGCTTGTAGACAGGGCAAGAACAAGGTCGGTCACGCTACTCGGTGTTGCTTCAATATCACACCCCGGCAGATAAGTCCTGTCGAGAGAGGTAGATAACCAAACCCCACGATGTCCAAGTCGTTATCTGCATATCATATAGTGTTGGCATTGTATAACCGATAAATTTACACAGTATTCATGTCTGGTCCTTTTTTTTTTAATTATGCACAATCATAATCACATAGAAAGAAAAATGATTATTTGGTAAACTATAAATGTACAGATAAGACATCAGTATTCAATCAAACGTATATGAACATAGTAACAACACACATCACAGTGTCAACTGTAACAGCCTGCATCCAGATGTAACCTTCATGACCTCTTCTGATCTCCTCCAACTGTTGTGGGGGTGTTGGGGATGACGTGTTGCTTGGCTGTGCGAGGTTCAAAATTACTAAAGACTATTCTTGGATTGTCATGCAGTTACCGCCATTTAATAGAACGGAAAAGCGTCACTACTGGCAATAGGAATAGCATATACGTACTTAGAAAACATGTCGACAGTAGTAAACACAGATGATTTCGCCGAGGGAGTAATCGGTAATGGTCCATAAAGATCAATCTCCCACACTTCCAAAGGGTTACATGGGGTAGGTAAAGTAGCAATATAATGTCGCTGAGGCACTGGGAGTACCTTTCGTTGTTGGCAATCAGGGCATGAACGTACATATTCCGAGACAATGGTAGATAAGCGTGGAAAGTAATAATGTTCACGAATGCGATCAAGTGTTTCCTTATTCCAGAGTGTCCTCCAACAGGAGAATCATGATAGAGAGTCAGAATCGTCGGTATCATGTCTTCAGGTAATGCCAACTGATAATGTTTCAAACGTTTAGATTTGGCAACCCGCGAGTGGAATAACATGTTGTCAATGAAAGCATAGTCCGAGCTCTCCAGGAAAACTCGTCTTGTTGCTTTTAGGGGATCTGGGAGTATATCATCCTTCAAATATGAAATATTGTTCTGAACTTCTCATCTTTCTGCTGAAGATCTCCGATTGTTTCCTTAGTGAACGTATGACCAGGCGCATGAAAAATAACATGTTGACTAGTAGCAATGTTTTATTTCACAATTTCAGAGTCTGTAATGTCAGTATATGAAGGATTGGACGAAATTGGTTGTAAAATCTCCGACAATCTTCCATCTGATGGGATGGGGGATTCCAGCAATGACTGTTCATCCCGACTGGTATCAATGTCTGTAGACTGAAGATATGGGTTAACCATTGGGCTAACATCAGTGACAGTAGTATCCTCACTAAATGTGACATGACGCTGTTCATCTTCTGTAGTGGCTTCAAAGACATCATTCTCACATATTCTGACAGCTTGTTTGTCCTCATTTGTTTCTGACATCGACGGTAGGACTGCAACAGTATCTGTATTACAGACCAAACTAGCGCCTATAAGTTTCACATCGTCTCTGGTTAATTCACGATCAAAGTTAACATGCTTACGACCAGGGTCGCTTGTGACATCCTTCACTTTTCTCCGAACTCGAGAGCGCTTTCGCAAAATGTTAGTTGAGATAGCAGCACTTTCGGTATCAAAATCCTCAGTATCAGCGTCATATGCTCATTTGCAGATAATATCCGATTGTAGAACAGACGACGGTACAACACAAATGTTATTGACTACAACATCATCACTACTGTCAGAATGTAGTAAAGAACCTAACTTCTGCCCGTCAGGAAGTGTAACTCCGGTAGCATGAGGATCAGGCACAGAGGGAAAGTTAAGGTCCTTCTCAACTAACTTCCATAATGTCCATGTCTGGGTTAGGATAGCAGCATGATAGTGCATCAGGGACCGTCATCTGACTAACCGGTTTGTTTTCCAGCTTGATATCAAATTGCTGTAAAATGGCAAGCCAACGCTCATAAATGACACCTCTGAGTTGTTTAAGAAACAATGGTTAAAGGGCCTGATGATCGCACTCTACAACGAACCTGCGTCCCCGAAGGTAATGGGCACAGTCGAGTACACTGTATACCATGCCTAGTAGCTCTAACTTTGTAGGTCCATATGTCTGCTGATAGGTATTTGATCCCTTTGAACCAAATCTTACAACACGGATGATCCCATCTGGGTGAATCTAGTAGAACATACATCCAAACTCCATAAAGTTGGAGGTCAGTGTCATGAGAACGCAGAAACATTTTTGACTGAATTTATTGCCTATACGAAATTATATTCGATTACCAATGATGAACAGAAGTGTTCCTTGTTTTACCTTTTGTTGAGGGGTCCCGACCAGACTTGGTACATATCCAACAACTTACAAACAAAAACGTGGTCTCATGTGGTGTCCCTATTCCGAAGACAATACATCATTGTGACATCCGCTACCCGACCCTACTAATAGAGACAAACGCATTCAACAAACTTACTCTTGGACAATATGAATCATTGGATGATTTTCATTCTCGGCATATTTAGAAAGCTCGGCGTATTGGCAAGACTGACATAGACATTTTGTCCAAATTTATAACCTCTCTACCTGAGAAACTGGCCATGAATGTTACTCTTGGTGGACAAAACCCCACTGCCAGTGGCACTGGAATCAAAAGTTGATAAACTTGCCGACTTAGTGAACAATATGTGTACCTACACATTCCCTCCAAAACTTACACAAGTGTGTCACCCGATTCTCCACCATGTTGTGAGGGTGTTGGGGATGACCTGTTGCTTGGCTGTGTGAGGTTCAAAATCACAAATGGCTATTCTTGGATTGTCATGCAGTTACCGCCATTTAATAGAACGGAAATCAACAACATAACACTAAACATACCAACAAAAGGACCCGGACACTGGGTCAAATATCCGGAACGTACAAAATAATTTGAAATACCCTGACTAGTCATATAGGTGTATACAATACAACTGCCCTGAAACAAAACCGTCTTGCTTCTCTATACTTATGAATATTCCTTTCACTATGTTCATCTTTTTTCTCTCGGCCTAGAATCGACTATCAGATGACATGATCTTCAAATAGCGGGAGGTGGTTATAACGTAGAGGTACAAATGCAAAGAACATAGATTTTAAGCACAACAGTGTAATATTATTAAAACGCCAAGACAGACCAGTGTTGTACACCACACATATAATATACACACCATCATTATTTCATTAATTCCACTCTTGTCACAATAACAATTAATCTACAATTGTTAACTGAGGAAAAATGGAATTTAAACAAGTAACACATTTTAAGGAATATTAGACAAAACAATATTCATATTACAATTAAACAGCAAGGCAAACTCCACATCAACATATATTTTTTTAAGTTTGTATTCATTTATTTATCATCATCGATCGATGGGAACCCCCAGCCTGTTTGTTCTGTTGTTGTATGCATTGTTATCATATGGAAACGTGGCATTACTTACTGGGATTGACCAAGATTTACATGGCGGGTGTCGTCGATGAAGCAGAAGACGCTCACATGACAACACCTGCGCCCGTATTCATGAAACCATTCCCATGGTCAAGCATAGATTTTGTGCTCAAGCAAACATTTTTATAATTCTCCTCAATCATATAAAATAATACAAATGTCAAACATAAACATTGATTACAACTTTGACTTGAAGTCCTTTCAAAATTTTTTCTTTAAGTCTTTGGCAAAATTAGCCATATTTATTAATTTTTAGCTTACACAAGACATTAGGCTTGAGCACAAAATTCATGCTTGAGCATGAGAACAGTTTCATGAATACAGGCCCAGGTCTTAAGATCCTTCTTTTTCACGAGTTAGTTTTACCATGGCTTATATATATACTAAACAAAAAAAGAAAGGTAACACTACTTTATTCTGTGATTAATTAATTAACCCCTTCATAAATCTTTACCAATCATGTACGAATAAAGTAATTGATCAATTCTGATAAAACTGCAGTCATGGCTCATTATAAAACTTTACGTTCAGTTGATTTTATTCGACTGTAAAGGACATTGGGGTCGATTTCAAAGGTAACAACATTAGTGACGGGTATGGCCACCGTTTGCAAAGTAAACAGCATTGTAGCGTCGTCGGATGGAACTCGTAAACAGGCGGATAATTCGAGGAGAGATGTTGTTCCATTCAGCGACCAAGGCTTGGGTCAGCTCCTGCAAGTTTGACGGCTGATTTTGACGTTCTCTCACGCGTCGCCAAGAACGTCCCAGACATGCTCAATCGGTGACAAATCAGGTGATTTAGATGGCCAATCTAACACCTGTACGTTATTCTGCTGCAAGAAAGTTCTGCTGACGCGACTGGTGTGCGCTGGTGCGTTATCCTGTTGAAAAATGGCGCCAACGCTATGGCGTCTTAAGAATGGCAGAACAACTGGTCTTAAAATTTCGTCCCGATATCGAATGCCGGTTAAATTGTCATTTAACACAACAAGCATGGTACGAGTCCCCCCACAAATACCACCCCAAACCATTACACTTCCGCCGCCAAAGCGGTCCCATTCTGCGACGCAGCAGTTCGCAAAACGCTCCCCGCGTCGCCTCCACACTCTGCGCCTTCCGTCACCGTGTTGCAGACAAAACCTGGACTCATCTGAAAACAGAACATTATTCCATTGTCGTAAGGCCCAACGACGGTGAACACGGGTCCAGTTACGCCGATTATTACGGTGACGTCGCAACAAATTGGGTCCAGTGTAGGGACGCCGCGCTTTCAATTGGTAGGCCCTCAACCTGTTGCGGACTGTTTGGGGAGACACACGACGCCCAAACAATGTCCTTGTAGTCTGTATTGCGCTTCGGGGACGATTGGATGTTGACCCAATTTGGTTTAAACGACTTACCAACTGGCAAATTGTCTTAACACTGCAACCAAAATGCCGTGCAACTCGACGGCGGGACTCCCCAGCCTGGATCATGCCTACAGCCCTTTCTCTCTGTACTTGTGACAGCCGGGGCATAATGATAAAGTTGATAGATAGCAAGATTCGGTGATTTCTAAGCCCTAAGGATCTAAGGAACAGTTGTCAGTTTGAAT